TGGAACAACCTTGAAAAGCTCCTCTGCCCATCACTTGACCCTGAGCAGATGCAGTTCAGAATGACTTCAAGAGGGCTTGAACTTTTATAGGCAACATGCTGCACTTTAGTTGTCCCAGCCTGTGTAGACATACTAAATCAAAATTAAATGTTAATGATGGTGGTGTTCATGCCACTCTGCTGGGGAAATTAAAACACAGACAAGCGAGGCTCTAACAGCTGTCAGTAATCAGGTCACTGCCTTCCCCAGAGCACTGGCTGCCAAGGCTTACACCAACCCCTATCATTAATGGTCCTGCTGCCAAAACAACTTGCTTTTGCCAACGTGTTGGGCCAGAAGAACATGAGTTATTTAAGGAGAAGCTGAAAGTCCTTGAGGGGAGTACAAAAAGAGGGCATGAATACATACATAGAAAAAAGTAAAAATGATCTGGTGTATGTCCCACTATATAGTGCTGAAAACAGAATGAACTTGGCAGTTGCTGAATTTACCCTTCTGCTACTATGAGCAGCCTGCACTTCAGGGGAGTCTGGCTTTCCCACAAGCTTATGGTATGTTCTTTATTGTTGTCTTTTTTTGCAACATGAGAAGATTCTAACATGCCATCAAACTACCTTGTCAAATTAGCAAAAGTAAATAATTTTTCCCATTATTTACTCCAAATGCATAATTGGTGAGCTACTGATTCTTAATGGCTAGTGGTTTCATTCACAAATAATGGCTACGGAATTCCAAGATCTGATTCAGGTCACTAGAAAGGGTAAGACCAGAGAAACCCATTTCACATTTCTGCTTGTCCATAATAAACTTCAGTGATCTTCCTTGAATGAGAAGCATGGATCCCATCATTGGTAACTTTCCCTGACTTAATTTTTGGGGGGAATTGCAGGGAAAGTGTTCCTGGTAATTCAAGTGGCTTGGAAGAAAAAGAGTTCTCTCTATTCCATATTCCATAAACCCAAATAAGTTAATAGTTTCATGTGTGTCACCACTGGGGGTAGTGAGGTCTCTCTAATAAAAAGCTCTTTTTGTTATTTAGGCAGTACCATCAAGTTAGTGATTTAAGTAGACCCAGGAGTGAACTGTCCAACTTGCTCTTGGAGGGGTAGGCATTGCTTCCTTCATAATGGAGGACTAGAAAAAGGAAATAGGAAAGCTATATCACAGATGACCACGGAAGGCTGGTGGTTTGTCTGTTCTCAGACCCATTCCTTGCTCCTGTCTTCTCCAAGGCGCATTGACTAGAATCTGGCCATCTACATTTTCCACGCCCTCTTGAGCAACTAGCATTCAGTCAGCTTTAGCCTATGGGGACCCACTGGTATTATTTTAAGCTGAAGACATTTGAGATTCAACGGATGCAGGAGAAATAAAAAATTTTAAAAAGCCTTCTCAGAGCTTCTCTTGTCTGACAAAACCCAGAAACTTCTAAGAAATAAAACCACCATAAATCTCCTCTTTGGAGGCAAGTCTATTGCTAAAAGAGAGAATAATGGTGACCCTCCCATAAAGCCCCTCTTTGGGGAAGCAAATAGCAAGGAAGAAGACAGAAAGTCCACTCACACCTGCCTAAACATTCTTGTCTCTCATTCATTCTCATAAAATCCTATGTGTCCTTACTAAAGAAACCTATTTGTTCTTCCTTAGGAGCCTTTTCTCCCCCATTCCCTTTCCTCAGTGAAGTTGAGTAGTAAACCCCCAATTTTTTTTTTTTTTTTTTTTGGTACCAGGGATTGAACTCAGGGGCACTTGGTCACTGAGACACATCTCAAGCCCTATTTTGTATTTTATTTAGAGATAGGATCTCATTGAGTTGCTTAGCACCCCACCTTTGCTGAAGCTGACTTTAAACTCATGATCCTCCTGCCTCAGCCTCCCAAGACAGATTACAGGTGTGTGCCACCTCACCCAGCGTAAACTCCAAATTCTAACCACCAATTTGAATTGCTTATAACTGAGCACCCTTCCATGTATGTGTGTTGCACAAACTGAATTTACTCTTATATCTCTTATTTCAATTAATTTCACAGGCACCCAACCACTAGACCTTAGAGGATAAAGGAAAAATTTCCCCTCCCCACCAGCCAGTGGGAGAGGCACTGCAGGCAACTGGCAGCATCTCTGGCTGTGTCCTCCAAGGTTCTAGCTCCTGTGCGACAGCTCCTTGGTAGATTCAGCCCCTCTGGCAGGCTCCAGTATGGTTTGTTGCCATCAAAGTGTTGAGCCTGGTTCCTGGGCTCCTAACACCCCTTCTCCCTTGCTCTCTCTAGCCCTCTGGGTAACTGCAGCTCTTTGCTGCTCTCATCTGGCTTGTCCCTCCTGCCCTGCTCCTTTGCTTGACTTTTCAAATTTTTTAGCACTTTTGTACGTTTCATGTGGTAATTACTCCCACTGTTTGTCAGGTTTCTGTTGCTGTAACAAAAATACCTGAGATAATCAACTTGGAAGAAATATTTGTTTGGGCTCATGTTTTCAGAAGTTGCAGTCCACATTCACTTGGTCCCATGGCTTTGGGCCTGGAATCACATGGCAGAGAAGGTCTGTTTACCTCGTGGCATCCAGGAAGCAGAGAGAAAGAGGAAGGATCAGGGTGCCAATATCCCCCTCAAAGCCATATCCCCCAATGACCTAATTTCCTTCCACCATGCCCCACCTCCTATAGGTTCCACCACCTCTCAATAGTGCCACGACCTTTAACATAAGGTCTTTTGTGTCCCAAACCATAGCAATTCCCTACATCAAATTTCTTCAAATTATCTGAGATGAACTGTTTTCCATACTGGATCCTCTCTGATAAAATAAACAGCATGGTTTGGTCTTCCTTGTCACCATGCGGGGATATGTCTCAGTTGGTAGTGTGCCTGCCTCACATGGTTCAATCCTCAACACCACAAAAAACAAAAACAAACAAACAAAAACCTCTTCAGGGGATAGAGATTAGTGTTTTGAGAAAGAAAAACAGTTTTAATTACAGCTGTAGGCATAAAAGTTCATCAAGAAAATTGTAGCTGGGGAGGCAATCAAATGATTGACACATATATACAATCTGAGTCTAAACAAAGGAAAAGATGTTTGGAACTTAAGGACAGAGAAGATAAGTTATAGAAAGAGGAGGGGAGGAAATATATGGTAAAAAAAAAAAAGAACTGTCTTGTTATGCAGATAAGAGTCCAGTGATAAGGTAGCTCTGTACAGAGACACCTTTAAAGATGGAAGTTACCTTTATATATATAGCCTTTGTATTTAGGCAATTAGGGGGAAATAAAGAGCTTTTCCTGTGTTTGCTGGTTCTCAGTTGCCTTTAGCTCAAAATAATATATAAACCAAAAAGTCATGTTTTGGGATGGCATATTCTGGTAGTCTTCAAGAACAGAATACATTGGCTGGCTAGCCAAGGAAAGGATGATCGAGCTGTTTGGCCATGATTTGTGTCCATAAATATGAGTGAGGAATGCCGAGAAAAATAGAGTCCAGCATGCAAAAGAGAAGAAACGGACCCAGCTTCCAGAATCTGAATGCTGCTGAAATTTTTCCTTGAATCTTACTGTGGGAACCAGAAAGGCATCAATTTAAGATACAGGTAGATCAAGGCTGATACCCATTGGAAGTTGCTTCATGTAGCCCCGGCTTTCTTTTTTGAGTTCTCTGTGTGCTGCAGAGGATATAAAGGTGAACCTGACGGCTGTGGTCCTTAGGAAACATATAGCTTAGCTTCAGGAACAAAGCAGACTCATAAATAACTACACCAAAAGTGGTAAGGAGAGGGATTTAAGAGGAGGGGACAAAGCACAGAACTGAGGGGGATTAGAAAAGAATGTGAAAGAGCTGTTTCCTCCACCTTCATCTCTGATCTGCCTGGGAGAAGGGAAGGCACGGAGGGTCTATGAATACTGCATGCCAGTTGCACACTAAATTCGGTTACAGGGAATATTGTTCAATGATCCTTATCAAAGCACAATGACAGTGCTACTGGAGTCCTGGGCCAGAGGCCTAACCGTGGGGATCCAACAAATCAGGTCTGGCCGCTGAACAACCTAACAGAAAAGGTAATGGTGAAAGGAACTTTAATCAGTGTAGCTACACTGGGAAGACATGGGGTCCTATGTCCTTAGCCCTGTCTTCAAGGGGCTGATAACTTTGAGGTTTTACAGAAAGGGAAATGAGGGGAGGGGTTGGGGGTTTGCCTAGCTGGAGGCTTTACACAGCTGCCCAAGCAGGTGATCTTGAGGTCTGGTCTCAGGATTGATCGGGCAGGGCTTTGTCAGCATGAAAAAGTTGCTGTTGCCTGGGGTGGAGGGGTAGCTTCAACTCGTCACAAGACATGTAATAATCAGATCTGTTGTTCCTGGCATGCAAGGTGACTCAGAGGGTAGGAGGCAGATGCAAAATGCAGGTTGAGACACCAAGTCTTTAATCCTGCTTTTAGTTACCCGTCAGACATTTGCAGAACAAAGTGAAGAGTCTAAGTCCTTGCTACTATAGGGCTCAGATGTGTCTTCTAAAATATGAGTGCAAGAGCCCAGAACATGCCACCCCAAAATTTGCCTCTGTAGGATAAGGATTATTTTGAGCTGGTCATTTTGAGAAACTGCAGGCCCTGAAGCTCTGGAAAATGGTCCTTTTGTAAGAGAAGTTGACATCTATAAGGGAAATTGCCACTTATTAGGATGTCTCCCCCACTGCACTGGGAAGAGAAGGACACTTTGCCATTAGGCCTTTCTCGGAGGCGAACACACTGGCTCCATCTACATGGCAAACCTCACCTGGGTTTATGGTGCTTTTCCTAGCCATCTCATCCTCACCAGGCTTCTCTCACACCCTTCTTTCCTTGTTTCAGAAACCAATAGCACTTAAACCTGAAATTTAAACTCTTTGAGGTCTACTTTAGCAATTCACTCAATATCTGGATTATCTCCCATGTATGCAGGAGGCATTCATGGTATTAAGCTTCTACTTTTTTTCCCCCTCTTGTTAATTTGTTTTCTGTTATAGAGACCAAGCTAAGAACTGAAGAGTGGAAGATTATTTACCTCTACTTTATCAGGTTTGTGGTCCCCCCACCTTTTGTATTGTTTTGTTTTTTAGCTGAGAACTCAATTGGCATATGTGAGACTCAAAAATGTGCCATCATGAAATAGATTTCTTTGGCACATATTGAGTTGGTTATTCAGAGAAATTGTAGACTTTCCCAAAAACTTGTTGTTTTTTAAAAAGAAATCTATGTCTAAAAAGGAAATCTCTGTTAGTGAAGCAAACAGCAGATAGCTACAAGCTTTCTGATGTCTCCCTTTCTGCCTTGTAGAGTTCTTTCCAGAGAAAGAGAAACTGGGAGTCTGACACCTGACCCAAACAGAGGTGACCACAGGTACTGTTACCTGGGACACCTCATGTGCAAAACAAGACAACCTTTGCTGTGCAGACCTCCCCCAGCCTTCCACAGCCTATATCACCTCCCTTCCTCCAGAAGCCCAAGTCCCTCTCCTGGGATTAGCTATGTAAGGGTCAGCCATCTTGCACTTATACGAGTCTCATACTGTGTGTTGTGGGAGACCAACCTTACACATGACTGAGTCACATTCCCCAGCTGGGTGCTGAGGTGCTCAGTCACAGAAATGTGGCAGAGCTTTCCCCACCCTTCTTGGGTTTGAGGGTCAGTGTCTCCTGCATGGGTGCGTCTTGCTACAGCCCCATGGGTGAAGCTATGTTCACCTGTTCCTTTGTAATATAACCCCTTGCCCTGTTTAGGGTAGAATCTTCCATGGAAGTGCCATGTGTGTGTCCCCTTCTCTTACTTTGCCCTTGGGTGTGGCCTACCCAGGTGTCAGTCAACCTGCTGACAGTGGACATCATGAAGATAGACTCAGTTCCCTGAAACCTGACCCCTTGCCTCATTTGAATAGCTTCTCCTCAATAAAAGGGGTCAGCTCTCTCTCTCTTCCTGCGGACCCTTAAGGTCAGAGGAGCCATCACAGTGACCCCAAAGAAAAAGGTATTTGTGTCTCTTGTGTGGTTATTTTGCACAGCCTTGTTAGCCCAGTTCAACTGGAGTGACCCCCTGAGCCTTTTAGTCACGAGAACCACAACCTGGCAGTGTGTGTGACTCCTATGCTTAGGCATAAACCTTGTTTGACTTTTTTTCCCCATTAATCTCTCTATTGTCTATTCATTTCGTAGACTAAAATTATCAAGCAGTCAGAGGGGAAAAGAAAATTTAAAACTTCCCTACATGTAGAACAGATTAAACAGGAGAAAGACTTACAAATACAACTTTTACATGGCAGAGGGGAGATTATAGGGAAATGAAGACCCAAAGATTCAGTTCGAAGCAAACACTTTTATATGCTAAATTGGATAGAGTAACAAATTGCAAAATGTAATGAAGCAAATGGGCTTGGGGTAGGGTCGTTAAACAGGTGGAGAAGTGGCCAGAAAGATAAAGGTTAATAAGGTTATGTGCAATTATTTCCATTGGCCTCAACTTACCATCCTCCATAAAGTTGACATTTTTCTTCTGGTATGAGGAGGGCATCTTTCACATAGGAGCTTCATCTCCTGATTGTAAGAAACAGAAAAATAGAGTAACTTCCCTGCCTCACTCGGTATTGGGGATTGAACTCAGGGGCCTCTGCCATTGAGACACATTCCCACTGCCACTCCCTACCTTTTAAAATTTCAAGCAAGGTCTCACTAAGTTGCCAAGGCTGGCCTCTAACTTGTGATCCTTCTTGGTTGCTGGGATCAGAATGATCTTTTTTGTGGAAAGGTGGGTACTAGAGATTGAACTCAGGAGCACTCGACCACTCGAGCCATATCCCCAGCCCTAATTTGTATTTTATTTAGAGACAGGATGTTACTGAATTGCTTAGCATCTTGCTTTTTTGCTGAGGCTGACTTTGAACTTGTGATCCTCCTGCTGTGATTACAGGCCTGCGCCACCACGCCTGGCTAGGGATCGGAGTGATCTTGTATCTGCTGTATTTTAAGTGCTTTTAACTCAAAATAACTATACCAGACTGTGTATTTTGGGGTGACATGTGTTTAACTCCTTCACGAGGTAGATTTTATGCAGGACCATCTCAATAGTTATGGAGACCAGCAATGGGATTGAGCTCAACTGTGAGTATGGCATGGGCAAGAAAGAATTTACAGCCAAGAAGCAGGGTCAGTGGGTAGAAAATTACTAAGAGGATACACAGGGTAATGGGGAATTCTGGCTAAGCAGGATTCTTGCAGAAAGCAGCATAGGGTCATCAGACATTATCTTGGGGGATGGTAGAGGATGAGGTACCTGGTAAGGGCTGATCAGATATCATAGTTGAAATGTCTTGCTAAAGTGAGAGAGTTCTTAGATTTTTTTGTTTTTTTGAGGTACTGGGATTGAACCCAGGATCTCACATATGCTAGTGCTCTATCACTGAGATATATCTCTGGACTTTTTTTTTTTAATTTGATACAGGGTCTCAATAAGTTGCTCAGGCTGGCCTCAGACTTGTGATACTCTTGTTTCAGCCTCCTAAGAAGCTGGGTTTAGAGGGATGTACTACTGAGTCCAGGCTCAAAACTAGATTTTACAGTGAAGTGCACAGGTGTCCTAGGGCCTGATTAAAATTTGGTCAAGCAAAGAATCTTTGTCACTTTCCAACAATGGCTTTAATAACTCATATTGACAATTTGTAAGCAATGACTTCAGGTCTAACTTGATCCAGGACTCAAATTTGGGTCTCCAGAACACTATCTCCTTTTATCTTAATTCTTCTTACCCCTGAACTGTTTTCATGATGGTGGCAAATAGTAGTCTACAGGTTCATGCCCTCACAGGCAAAACCATACAAAAAAGAATTCTCTTTTATCCTTTTCATGGTGGCTAGAACAGTGAATTACGTGGACAAGGCCTTGGATAGAAGACAACCCCCAGAGCTACAATGGTTTAGATCACAATGAGTCTCAAAGAATGATACCCCCAAAATATGGCATTTGCTGAGCAATTTGATATAAATAAAATTAAAAGGCCTTGTCTTCCTCCTCTCCCTTATAAGCACAAGGAGAGACTCCCTCTGGAATCCTCTTGTTTGCCTTGAGACCAGACTGCAGGAGGGAACACAACTGCTTTCCATCCTACCCTGAAGTCTCATTGTTCGTCAAGAAAAAAAAAGACTTAAATGATTGAGTTATGTGTGTGTTTTGAGGCCAGATTGTGATAGAGTATTTGTCGTGGTCTGAGATTTTAAAAAAATAAGAAACAAATAACCAATTTTTTTTATCTGAACAGCTTTCAGTGAGGTTAAATTATATGAAAAAAATACTGAATGTTTTCAGACGCTTTGTAAATGCAAATAATTGCTATCATTGCTTATTATCGTTCGATTAGGAGATTTCAGCTCCTATTAGCACTGTCAGGTTTCTTTTAATGTACAATATTCATCAGAATTAAAAATAACAAATTAAAAAAAGAATACAGGGATGGATAGACACTGGACAGACTTCCCTTTCAAGATGATGTATGTCACTTGAGATCAATCAAATTCCTATGAGAACAATTTTTCAAGCTAATTCCTGTCTTTGATGACCATTTATTCTCCTAGTAAAAATTTGTGTCCCCCTTAAAATTATCTATATTCCTCTTTCTGCCCCGCCTCTATAGAAAGGGGTAGATAATCTTGTGAATCATGTTGTACTGGGTAATTGCCCCCTGGGATTGCCTCCAGGCACGTGTGTAAATGTGTGTGTCTTTGCTCCAATTTGTTTTTGTCATTTTATTTCAGTGACTCTTGAGAAGGGTGTAGGGGAAAATTCCCTTCACCCCCACGATCAATCCTCCTGATCCTCCCTTCTCACACCATAAGGACTGAAAAAGATAATCAAGGTGCTGTTACAAAAAAGAAAAGGAACCTGGCTGCTGGGCAGGTCCATACGGAGCTGAGCTATCATCCTCTCAGAGGACTGTGAAGAGGAGAGGCCAGGTCCCATGTCACCAGACACTCCTGCCACACACTTCAGATGGGCCTGGAGCTACAGGGAGAGACAAGGGGGTGTTGAAGCCTGGTCCCTGTCCAGGCCCAACTCAAGGTTTGGTCTGCTGACTTTGGCAATTTGTCTAGGCCGATGCTTCTCAATAGAGCCCAATTCCCACCCCTCCTCCAGCCCCAGAAGGAAGGAGTGAAGACACAGAGACTTAAGACGGATCTGAATGAACAGGCCTCGCTCAAGTTACTGCCATTAACTATCATTAGACCAACTCCCTTGTCCACTTCTCCATCCAACCTCAGCACACGAATGAAGTTTTCCCCATTTCTTTGGGTGTTCATTTCTGAAGGATCCGTGTCACATAAAACTTCATTCAAGAAAGCCAATTTGTTATGCTTTTCTCTTGTTAATCTGATTTTGTTTTTGTTTTTGCTTTTCTGATTGGAGTGTCAACTGGGAATCTTGTGACAGGGGAGGAAAAGATCTTACTTTTCTCCCTTACACCACTCTACCGGTTGGATCTTAAATGCCCCCTAATGCCCAGGTGTTAAGGGATTAGTCTCTAGAATGGCACTTTAGGGAGGTGGTGGATTCTTTAGGAGGACTTCAGGTTATTGGGACACACTTCCCAAGAGGATTGTAGGACCCTGGTCCCTTCCCCTCTCTCTCTTTGGCTTCCTGGCCATGAGGTGAGCAACTTTGTTACACCACGTGCTTTGCCACCTGCTCAAAAGCAATGGGACAAATCAATCATAGGTCCAAACTTCCAAAATTGCAAGTCAAAACAAACCTTTTCTTCTTATAAATTGATTGCCCTGGGTATGTGCAATAATGATGGAAAACCGGCTAAAATAGCTTCTTTCTTTCTTTTTTTTTTTTTTTTTACCTCTTTCATCCATTATTGGTAGGATCCTTGCTTAATAAAAAATAATTCCTATGGCTGTAAGAAGTAGTGATTAGGTGTGCAATTGCAAAAAGTAAAATAAAATAAACTCTGAGCCAGGCACAGTGGCACAGCTTGTAATCCCAGCAGCTCCGGAGGCTGTAGCAGGAGGATTGCAACTTTAAAGCCAGCCTCAGCAATGGCAAGGTGCTAAGCAACTCAGCAAGACCCTGTCTCTAAATAAAATACAAAATAGGGCTGGGGATGTGGCTCAGTGGTTGAGTGCCCCTGAGTTCAATCCCCAGTAACAAAATAAATAAATAAATAAGCTCTGACTTCAGGCTTGGAGGCAAAGGTTAAATCCCTGCAGAGACTGCAAAATCCCAAAGGAAAAAACTTCCCTTTTACTACTTATAACCATCCAAAGAGCAAGGAATGCTGAATATACAAAAATGCTTAAACAGCAATGTTAAATATGGATTGAAGGTTAAAAAAAAAAAAGGTAAAAATACCGGCAAACAAGAGTGATCTAGAGTATGCCTCTTATACCTTTTAATTACTTACTTTGGTTTTCAAGTTAATATTTATTATGGAGGACAAAGCTTTATTATGATAAAACTAGTATTTGCTGGTAAAAACTTAGAAAATAAAAATAGCTGCAAGAAAGGAAAATTTAAAGCTTCTTCATCCAGAAATAGCTTCTGCTGACACTTTAGTATGCATTCCTTCTGTCTTCCCTTGCAAACAGATACATTTTAACAATGTACCTGCTTGTGCTGTGTATGGGAGAGAGGGGTCACTGGGGACATCTGTGGTTTAGATGTATTGCAGCAATTGCTAGAAACTGATGACAGCAAAAATGAGAATCATCCATCTTTGTTAAGATAATATTCCAGGATATTTGTATTTGTACATAGTTAAGCCACATGGCCACAAATTTTTTAAAAATGGGCTCCTTTAGGAAACACTTTTTCCTCTACCCTGTTATATTCTGTGTCTGGGGGCTGCGGATTAAACTGACAAAAGACATTACCAAGAGAAAATTGTATGCACATGGGAGCCAACAACAACAACAAAAAGTAGTTGGCTTCTTCAATGGTTAAAGGTTTATGATGTCTCTAATTTCGTACGGAAAAAGGAGGAGGAAGAAAAGGCTACTATGGGAAGAACAAATAGGTTTCTTCAGGCAAGAAAAGTGAGGTTTCAGGAGAACAAGAGGCAGATTGGAAAGTTTGTGATAATGGGTGAGAGTGGTCTTTCCATCTTTTTAGGCCATAAAACTCCCATGGAGAGGAGACTTATGGAAGGGTCACTTAGTTTCTTAGTTTCTCTCCGGGGAGTGGACCTGCCCCAAAGAAGAAATTTATGGCATCCTCTCTTCTGTCAACATCCTTATTTGTTGAAAATGTCTGCTCAGATAAGGGAAGCTCTGAGAAGGCTTCTTTCTGCATCTGTGGGATCTCAAGTGCCCTTCCGCTTAAAGTCACCTTGGTTCACATTTTGGTGATCCAGGTGGCTCCATACCCTCAAAGAGGAAAAAGCAGCAAAAGGGTTGGAAGCTAACCCTCTTCAAATCACGGCACTGGGGCCGGCTCTCTCTCAAAACAGTGCCATGTGGGTGGTTTATGAATCCCATTTTACAAATGGCAAACTAGAGGCTCAGTGAGTGGAAGTCAAAGGCCAATAATCTGAACCTCAATTGTGTTTGGTTGGACATCTAGAACTTTTATTCAACAAACATTTAGTGAGTGAACTTTATGTGGCAGATTTTGTAACCAGGTACTGACTCAAAGACAAATTAATTGCTTCTGCTCTGAAGGCGTTGCAGTCTAGGGGGAAATCAAAGCAGGCTGATGCCTATTGTATAGTTTGATGCTGTGATAGAGACTGCTCTTCTGCACACACAGGTAGGTGATGTAGAAACACAGAGGAGAAAAAACTACACCAGCTATGTGATAGCTTTCTTGATGAAGGGGACCTGTGACATATGGTATTTGACCTACAGGTTGAACTGTGTCCTCAGAAGGTACCTTAGAGTCCTCACCTTCAGTACCTCTGAATGCAACTTTATTTGGAAATGATTGCGGTTGTAATTTGTTAAGATTCAAACAGGAACAGGGTGAGCTGCTAATCCAACACCTCTGATGTTCTTACAGTGTTATAATGTGGGACTTGGGGGGTATCTCAGTGGTAGAGCATTTAGCATGTGTGGGGCCCTGGGTTCTATTCCAAGCATACAAAAAATAAATAAAGGAAAGAAATATGATGTGAAGGAAGAATAGATTGTGACTGCTTAGTCTGGGAGAAGGAACAAGGGTCATATCCTAGCTCTGTCTTCTCCCACTTTCCTTTTTGGGGTGCTCCTGCCTTCAAAGAGCTTCTCTTCTGTCAGCCCTGGCCTGCCTCCATATTATCAGGCTCCCAAGAAGAGCAGAATCTGAAATGGGAATTCTTCTTTTTTTTGGGGGGGGGGGGGTTGCTGGGGATGGAAGCCAGGTCTTGCACACACTACGAGATGAGAATTCTTGTTAAACTTTGTTAAATTCTTGTTGGGCTTTGCTGGGGGAGTGCTCACAGGAGAAGCAAAGTGAGGAAAGCAGGATGAGACTAGGGAATGAAGCTCAGCAAGAAGGGGCTCAGCTGAGGCCTGGCGGCTTAGCTTTTTCACTGCTGTGATGGAAAGACCTGGCAAGAACAATTAGAGGAGGAAAAGTTTATTTGAGGCTCATGGTTTCAGAGGTCTCAGTCCATACATGGCCTACTCCATTGCCCTGGGCCTGAGGTAAAGCAAACCATCATGGTGGAAAAGTATAGAGGAGGTCAGCAACTCAGGACATGACATCCAAAAAGCAGAGAGAGACTAAGCTCGGCTCACCAGGGACTAAATATACCCAAAAGTTATGCCCTTAATGACCTACCTCCTCCAGCCACACCGTGCCTACAGTTACCACCCAGTAAATCCTTATCAGGGATTAATACATTGATCAGGTGAAGGTTCTCATAACCCACTCATTTCACCTCCAAACACTCTTGCATTATTTCACACATGAGCTTTTAGGGGACACCACATCTAAACCATATGCCTACCTTCAGGTGAACCCCATCAAGATGTTCTGGGATGCAAATTGCAACAGAATTAGTCTCCTTGAGGAGACAGGACCAGCCCCTTTTGGTCCCTCCTCCATGGGTCAGTCATTGGAGAACTCAAGGGCAGGTGAGTGAGAATGTGGCAGAGCCTGCTAGGCAGGTCACAGCAGCTCCTGTGTGGCCAAGGACAATTCTCTAACAAAGGGACACCTGGGGGATTTGTCATCAGCCCACACCCAGCAGCTGGGGTGGATGCACCCACTGGCAAAGGGGATGTGGCCCTCAGAGACTTCTCACCTCCAGCTCAGGGGACTGTCATATAATCCAGCACTGGTTCTGCTTGAAGGGTCAGATGAATAGAAGAACCAGACTAGGAGAATATCCTTCTTCTTGCAGTGTCTTTCCAGGGCAAAACCTAATAAAATGCTTTGGAGGCACTTCCTGTGCACTTTTCCTTTGTGCTAGAAAAAGCCAAACAGCCAAATTCTGCCATACTGATGTTCAAGCAATGACACTGCTCAGACTTTACTGAGAAAATGATGAAGTTCTTGTGGATGAATTTGCTCACAAAGGTCATCCTATTGCTGACATTTCTGGAGTTTGATTTAAGGTTGTCAGAGTAGTTAGTATTTTTCTTTCAGCCTTACATAAAAGAAGGGGAAAAAAAAACAAACTCATAAGTTTTGATGATGCAAACACAGTATTTATGGATTTTCATTAAAATATGCAAAAAACAAAATTTCAAAAAATTATCAAAAGAAAAAAATCATATATTTTCCAAATAATTCTTTTTCATTTTTATTGTATTATTTTGAGAAGATAACAGAAGAGACTGTGCAAAGCGTCACAGAAGTTTTCCTCCTGTGGCCTTGTCTTCATTGATTGACCTCCACAGTTAATTTCAAATAATGTGCTCAGCAGCATTAACTTGTGACTTTGGAGCTGAGTGAACCCATGAGGCACAGAGCTCATTTATACTCCTGAACTTGGAAACCAAAAAAAATCTGAACCACTCACCAGTGTGATATGCTCTTTATTCCTATATAGTAGGAAATAGCCTTACATTACTTGCTTTGCTAGATTTTTTTAAACTGCTTTAATTGTGCACTTACGTGCATCAGAAAAGCTATTCATTTTTTTCCAGTGATCAATACAAAAAATGTTCTTACAATCAAGAATTGCCTTTAACTTTATGGGGTGATTTCAGAAATTATTATAATGATGGTCTTCCATTTCTGGGAATATTACCATTTTAAAAATTAATGGCAATTAGTGAAAAGCATTATACAGCATATGTAATGAAATATATCATTAGTATATTTTCTATTTATTTATATCTAATTTTTGTGAATGAAACAAGTCCTTTAAAATAATTGTCAACTTGATACAGATAAGTCTGAATAACTAGACTGGGTA